AATGTGCAAATTAATACATTATTTATTGTTTATAACATGAAATATTACAACTTATATTTGGTAGTTACACTGCTCTAGCTTGTAGAAAAACTTGCCATATATATGAAAGTAAATACCTTACCTAAAGTAATTCCTTATTTTTTAATGAGGACATATTGGAAGAAATTTCATCAATAATGGAACATCCAATTACTGGTCTTCTGGATTAAGGCATTCTTTTATTGCCAGATTGTAATGCTAGAGTGTGAAGTTCAAACATTGCCAATGAGATCTCAGACTAATTAAATGATTATAGCCTAAGGGGAAGGGCAGCCCAGACTCCACTATTAATCTTCTCAAGAATAGCCTGTATGTGTGATGAGCACATGAGTACATCTACCTTATTTCAAAAGAAAACATGGAAGGAGTTGGGAGGGGGGGTTAATTTTCTAACAAAACAAGAAAGATGGAATTTCTTTATGAAGAACTTTTTAAGTTTTTGTGGAAGTCATATTCATACTTAGGAATGCTTTAGTAGGTTAAACCCAAATATCGAGAGGTGGCACAGAAGTAACAGTGACAATAATGATCACCAGTGCTTTTATGTGCACTGCTGTACTTCAGGCACTCTGCTGTGTTTGTCTATCCTCATTTTATAGAAAAGGAAACCAAGGCATAGAGAGATTAATGATTCCTGAAGTAGTTGGCGGACTGTAGAGTGGATGGAGATTTTTACAGCCTCTCCTTTTGGTCATTCACTCCGAGCCACCCCTCTCTAGATAGTTTTATTCTCTATTACTTATTCTCATCACCTGTCTGTAGGGGAGTCAGTAGTAATTTCGGGATATGGATGGGGGTAGGAAACTAAACTGAGTCAGAGAAAATTACTTCCCCCCTTGGAAGGACTTTCTGGTTCCTAATATGTGGAAATGAGACTTTATCCCAGGAAGGCCGGGACAGCAGTTTCTCAGTGCATGAACAAGCTGTCTGTAGTCATACCTCTCCTCCTAGACCATAGCTCTCCACCAGGCTTCTTACCACCCCTTTTATGACCCAGGAAAAAAATCTAGCACAACATCTTTAAGTCTTTATTTTTGGTGCGTCTATCCATTCTTTCAACAGTTTTGTATTTTTCTAGTTGAGAGGAGTTACGGATGTGTCTGAGCATTGCTGGGTCCAAAAAACATGAATCTGAAATTTTCCTCTGCATACTTTATGTGGAAGACTCCTGAGATCAAGTCAAGCCAAGCCATAATTTGGGAACAGATGGAATCTCTAAAAGTGTTCTAACATCTTAAAAAATTAAAGTTTTAGTGATGTTTCTTTAGGAGGCTTTAATTTGGGGGCGGGGGGATTGTCACATGATATTAAAAATATTTTTATCCTATCACTTTGAAAATTATTTTTGTCTTCCAAGATCCTTCTTTTAGCACCCTCGGTCATTATTGCGTCATTTCTCTTGTGAAGTTTGTCTATCTAGGACGAGCTCGTGTTTGTGAGGGAAGGGTAAGCTCATCTAGATCTTACAGAACGTGGGCCCTGGGTGTAGAAGTCATAGGTTTAAAAAAAAGCCTCTAAAGTTTAGGAAAAGATGTATTCCTTGGCATTTACAGACAGCATACGCTGGCCTGGAAATCACTGAAGAGTTGTGTTCAGACTGGTGATGTAGGTGATCGAAAGGAGACAAATAAATGCAGGGCTTAGGACAAGGTTTACCCCATGATGGGTATGGTGGAGTGTTCAATGATCACTGTGTGAGACAGTTACTTAAAATCAGCCACAGCCAATATCAAATCTGCTACAGATGTACAAATGGAATCATCATGGTTTGGGGTAACTCATTGGGTTCAAGTCACTAAGATTCTCATTTTGTTAAATTATATTATTCCTTCAAGGAGATCTGTAGTTTTAGAGGGAACCTAGAAAAAAAATGATTAAATGCTGAGGCTAGAAGTAGAAAGTGAATTTTCTCTTTGGAAAGGCTGTAAAATTTCCTACACAATGACCAGCTAACCTGAAATTGGAGACAGGAGCAGTAGGCAAGAAGGAGCCAATGTGCCAACATACTGTACTGCCCACTCCTGTCTTTACTTGATAGGGTACTTTTATTCCAAGCATTTGACTGGCATTTGACACTGATGCCCATTACATGACACAGTAATGCCTCTCACAACCAGTAGCTTAGATCTTCTGTCAGAAGCACATGTGAGGAAAACAGGTGAAGCCCTGGCCAAGATCCCTGTCACAGTCCCAGTTCTCTTGATCCACTTCGGTCAGTTCAGTACAGCTGTAAGTCCCTTCCTGGTTTTGGATTCTCCTCTATGACACCACTCTCTCCTACCACTGTATCCCACTTATTTTCAGGAATAAACACAAGTTTTTTTCTAAGCCTGAAAATCTCTGAGTCCAAATTTACAACCTAGGGCTCAACTGCTATTTTCTTCTCTTAATTTTGCCACATACTATACATCCAGTAGAACGTGGTTGTAATGTTGCCCCATGTCAGTTGGTGCTTCTAATTTGTGACTTCTATTTATATAAAGTGAATTCCCAGCTCTATTAATCCTGCAAAATCCATGAATCCTTAATGTTCAGTTTGCTTAGAATGAGTAACAGTGTGTTTGTTCCTACACTTGATCTTAGCCAAAAGGCCGGGACGCGATTGTATTTGTTCTTCTCACATGTACTTTCTCTCTGAGCTGTGGACGAGCTCCTTTTAGATAACTTGCCTTATATCTCGGATGATTTATTCACTTTCATGTGCCCTAGAATTTATTGCTAGAGGCTGACACGAATGCTTACAGTTTCGGCTCAAATATAATCTCCTGAATAGCAATTAATAAATAAATGATGGTAACTGTTGTTGACAGAGAATCTAGGCTTTCTCCTATAGTTTTCTTCTTCATATTCTCACCAAACTTCATGTCAGACAACCTTAGGGGTTTTACAGTGTAAAATATTTTCTATAAGCTCCAGAGGCTTTTACTGTTGTTTCAGTACCCCCAAACCTTCATGCTGTTTTTTGTTTTCTTGTTAGAAATAATCTGTTCAACTTCTGTGTCTTCAACTTGCCTTCCTTCCTGGAAAAATAAGAAATACGCTCCTATCTGAATGGAATAGTAGCCTATCCTCTGTATTTATGATTTACAGGTAGCACCTGAAATGTGGCCCTGATATTTCTTACATTTCTTGGCTTAGTCTCATGTTGGTTGCATTTATTAAATATTTACTGTCACCTATGAAATATGGTGTTTATTGTCATCACGTATATTATTCAAAGTGTGAATTTGCCTGCTCTGAGTTCATGATGAATCTATAAAACAACATCCAATTTTTGCAGTTTTCCTTTTTGTTTGGACTCCAGGACTCATCTAGATTAATGTGCCTAGTTTAGACATGAGGCAAACAGATGCTACTGTAAGTAACTGGTCAGTGACCAAGTACATCTTAGGCGGTGTAGTGTGTCGTATAGAGCAGAAAAGCAGGCACAGGCCAGTTCCCATGTTGGAGATTTATTGAGTGTTCAATCCAGTTATTGCATTTCTCTGTGCCCCAGTTTTCTCATCTGCAAAATGGAACTAGTAATGCAGGTAGCACAGTTTTAAGGATGATAATAAGTTAACATAGGCAGAATGCTCAGTGTGGAGTTTGGCACAGAGTAAGCACTCCATGCATTGTTAGCTGTTATCATTATCGTTATTATTTGCACCATATTTCAGGACATATGGGAGAGTGAGTATTGCTATTTAAATTTATGTGGGTACATGTAATTATTGGGCCTTTGTTGTGCTTATTTTGTGTTGCTTGTGATCCTAATACTGAGTCAAACAACTAGTAGTAGTGTTCATGATTATCAGTAGTGGTAGAAGAAAAAAAAAGTGATAAAAGCAATGAAAAATGGTGCTGTTTATTGAGCCTTACAATGTGCTAGGCCTTGAAGTAGATACTTTATGTACATAAAACTTACCATGTGCTCAGCTTACATCTATGGAAAAACTGCAAGATAGTTTATTTCCAGAAATCCAAGTATAACCCCTTCCCGACAGTAATAGTACCTAGAGAGAAACATGAGCTTTGGCCCTAGTAGAAAAGTGTTGAATGTGGAAACAAGGGCTCTGGTAGAATTTTACCCATTTTAAAATACCCCTTGTGCTGCTAATATTTATATAAGCTAATCCTGTTATTAATAATCAGGAGACTGGTGGGGGGTGGATGTCAAAGAGTGGAATGCAAAGGGGTGGGTGGATGACAAGATAAATCATACAAAGTGAAAAATATTAGATATCAGAAACTAGATTGCTAAAGTTTGCTTATGTTTTGTTTTCTATTTTGCAACTCTGTAACACATAAAAAGGTGGCCCTTTTTCTACATACCCAAAGAAATATATTCAGAACAACAGCATTGCTTCATTTATTTATAGACTAAATAAATTGTATTCACTACACATTAATAGCCACTAGGGTAAGGTAAAATGTTTACTCACAGAAATTACAATTAATTCAACGTTCTTTGATTTCCAGGCACAGTATGTTTCTTAATCATTATTTGAATATGCATGGCAATGATAAAAGCTACAATGTGTGGCAGTGCCTAGGATGGGTATCAGAAGTGAAGCGAGCATCATATTGGGTGCTTTTATGTATATGCATAAGTGTGTTTGTATATGCTCTTACACATAATCATTCTCATTCACATTCTAGATATAATCTAGAGACAGCAATAGCCTTTTAGCTTTTATATGTGTGTGTGCACATATATTCACAGTCCTATAAATTTCTATATGTAACATAGTCCTTTTAGGTCTTTCCACTACTTTAGTAAACTGAGGCTCAGAGAAGTCAAACCACTTGCTCAAATCCACAAAAAGTGGCAAAGCTGGAGTTTAAATCCCACCTCCCAACCACTTAACATCCCTCTTTTTAAGATGCCCTGGCAGAAACAGTCCTGGGACAGTCAGCTTTTCCATTACACCATACAGCCCTGTTAGGGCTAGGGTGACCTTGTGCCCTTTCTTTTCCAGAATCTCCATGCAACGACTTTGGTCCAACTCTGGGCTTGAAGAAGTCCAGCTCCCTGGAGAGTCTGCAGACTGCCGTGGCCGAGGTCAGGAAGAACGAGCTTCCCTTTCACAGGCCCCGGCCGCACATGGTTCGAGGCCGGGGCTGCAACGAGAGCTTCAGAGCAGCCATCGACAAGTCTTACGATGACCCGGAGGAGCTGGAGGCTGGTAGGGCCACGCGTTCCCTTAAACGGTTTCTTCGTCTTGCTATTATCTGCAAATCGCAGATGATAATGTGTGCTTAACTACTGAGAAAAATGATTTAAGGATCACAATTATATTTTTGATATTAAAAGTAATTCATTTTCCTGATCTGTTTTGCCCTTTGGCTTAACGAACATGGAATGGGAGAACGCAATGTGCAATTTATTTTACAGTGCAAATGCAAAAGAAATTTCTCCTTCACTTTCCCACAAGGACTGTCGTTTCCCCCAGGGTGGGAGCACTAAGCATGCATTTTTTGACATCCTCATTTGAGTCATTAGGAAGCAGCATCAAGCAGAGGACTGACTGCATTAATTGGGTAGAAGCAGTTCAGTTATATTTGTACTCAAAAACTTCTGGAAATAAACTCATCCTGTTTGTTTCCCAGCATGTGGGCCTTCTGAGCTGATCAAGGTTAACAAGCCAGCTTCCAGAGAGATTAGTGTGCTACACATAGCAAGCCTTCCATACTCCCAGTGAAGCAACCAGTGCCCACTCCCAGCTTCAGACCTGGCTTGAAGTACCCAGGTTTAGGCAGTCGTATCTTCAAAGGGGACACGTAGCCACGCGGATGGGTAGAACTCAGGAGTGCTTCTCCGCTTTCGTCTGTATTTCACATTTTGACATTGCTTCGAATGCTGCCCGTAAGTGCTGATGACCACGTGTATTGATTTTGTTTTCTCTGCACAGATGGTCTGTCTGATAAGAGCTCTCACTCCGGCCAGGGAGCTCTGAATTGTGAATCTCCTCCTCAGGGGATCTCAGAGTTAGAGGACTTGGAAAATAAAGCCAGGAAAGTCAAGAAAACAAAAGAGAAGGAGAAGAAAAAAGACAAGGGCAAGCTGAAAGTCAAGGAGAAAAAGCGGAAAGAGGAAAACGAAGATCCGGAAAGGAAAATAAAGAGGAAAGGATTTGGCGCCATGCTGAGGTATGGGCCTGCTCTGAAGGCATAGTTGGTTTTGTTTCTTTTTATGGCTTTTCCTGGTGAAATACTCCTTTGTGCGTACGCAGGATAAGGTGCCAGATTTCCCTCATCTGCAGCCAGAGATGGGAAAATCTCAGCTGTGAATGTGTGTTTGTTCTTCTTGGGCAGAGGCAGAAGGAGCCCTTGTGCTTGCTCTCCAGGTGTCGTGAGCCTGTAGTCAAAGAAGGACCAGTGCTGCGGTCCTGTGTACCGGAGCATTATGCACATCGATCCAGTACTTCCTCCACCTGCGCAGGAAGAGTGAGGGGCAAGGGAGTCCTAAGCTGGTGCCTTTGGGGTATCCCCTATGAATCAGAGAATTCAGGAGAGGTGAGCCTCATCCTCCCATGAGTGTAGGTGTGCAGATGGTCAGGTTCCTGTTCACATTAGCTGTCACCTCTGGAGGCACTGGGATGCAGGAGTGATATCCCTGAACCTGCTGTCCGATGACCTTGGCCTGAGTCCAGGACTGTGTGACAGGGTTTCCCACCTCTCTGAGGCTCACTCTCCAAACAAGGCACCCATACTTGCTCTTCTAGTGTCTACTAGCCAGCGTGGGAGACAAGATTTCACATGCACTGGGTTCGTTGACTAAGCATGGTTCAGCAGGTACAGTCGGGAAACAATTTTGTTTCTTTTCCCAGAGCTCCCTTCTGATGTGCTTGGTTGAGGCTTTCTTCACACTGCCACATCTCAGTTTTCTGGCTCATAGCTTTTGGTCATGTTTGCATGATAAATCGATATTTTTTGACATGGGTTCAAATAGCCAGTCTAATGTAAATCAAAACGTTTTTCCTGCCTGCCTCTTGAGCCCCAACCCCAAGGAGTGCTCTGTAGCGTGGTAGGTGGTAGGTGTCTACCTTCTCCTCCTCCTCGCTCTCTAGAAGCAGGGTCAACTGGAGCAATATTAAACCAGGTAGAGTTGTATTTCACTCATATTTCTGGTGTGGTCTAGCCATCAGGGGTCCTTATGGGCCACTTATGTGGATCTTCCAGGGAGCCCCTTGTTGTACAAGCCACTGATGGGGAAGATTCATTTTCCTACCACCTAAGACCCTCTTGCCCTAAGCATCTGACCTCACACCCATGGAGAGCCCCTACCCAGTTGGTAAACTTCTTGGATGACAACAGTGTGAGATGGCTCCACTGGCTCCCTGGAGTCACTGCTGACCCAACCAGGCACAGGTGATTCCCACCACTCCTCCTTCCTTATCCTGTCATAGGGATGTCCCAAGCAGCCTTCTGTCTTCAGACCTGTCTAGGGCAAGTCTAGTGCCATGGTAGGTGTCCTCTGATAGAGCCTCATGGTAGCCTTTCCCAAGAGAACTCTGACACCTAAGCAAAGGAAGAGGGTCGGTATGTGTGTGTGTATATATATTTTGATAGGCAGAATGGACAGTGAAAGAGAGAGACAGAAAGGTCTTCCTTTTCCATTGGTTCACCCAATGGCCACTGTGGCCAGTGCACTGTGGCCGGTGCACCACGCTGGTCCAAAGTCAGGAGCCAGGTGCTTCTCCTAGTCTCCCATGCGGGTGCAGGGCCCAAGGACCTGGGCCATCCTCCACTACACTCCCGGGCCACAGCAGAGAGCTGGACTGGAAGAGGAGCAACTGGGACAGAATCTGGCGCCCCGACCGGGACTAGAACCTGGTTTGCCAGTGCCGCAGGTGGAGGATTAGCCTATTGAGCCATGGTGCCGGCTGATGGTCTGTATATTTTACCAACCACAGAGAGAACAGGTAGGAAGTGGATGGCGTCTCCTTTCATACAAGTACTTCCAATTCTCTGCAGGGTATTCTTATAGTCCCCTCGCTTATTTTGTTGGAGGTGGAAGTACCCACTTTCTATTACTTTCCTTGCTCCTGTAATTTCCAATCAAGTCAATTCAATGATAAGTCAGCTTGGCTGCATCTTATAAAACATTTAAGTGATATCTCTCTTGAGAATTCTGGATATTGTGTGTTTCTAAATCTTCTCAGTTTGAGATATTTAAGTGAGGTTTCCAGACAGAAAGGAAAGTTCCATTCTGTTTTATATGTGTGTGTAGAAAGACCTTTTAAACAACAAGGTGACATTTAGAGGGCACAATATCTACATGAGTGAGCTTTTTCATCATATCTTCAGTTCCATTCATGCTAAGCCAGTGTTCTCCTGCTCAAAATCTTGAGAGTAGATGTGTGATGTGTTCTAATGAACTGTGCTATGGTTCTGCTACCACCTGGGCTTCCTCCAGCAGGCAAGATAGCTTAATAGTCATCTAACGATCAGAGATCAAAAAATTTTTAAGATTTATTTATTTATTTGAAAGGAAGAGTTACAGAAAAGCAGAGAGAGAGAGAGGTCTTTCATCTGCTGGTTCACACCCCAAATGGCTGCAATGGCCAGAGCTGGGCCAATCTGAAGCCAGGAGCCAAGAGCTTCTTCTGAGTCTCCCATGTGGGTGCAGGAACCCAAGCACTCTGGCTTTCTGCTACTTGCTTTCCCAGGCCATAGGAGAGCGCTGGATCGAAAGTGGAGTAGCCAGGACTTGAACCAGTGCTTATATGGGATGCTGGCCCTATAGGCAGTGGTTTTACCCACTCCACTACAGCGCTGGCCCCAGAGAACACAATTTTAACAAATTGAGTTTTATATTATGATTGGCTTTTAGGACTCATTTATTAATCAGGTACCATGCCATCTACCAGATAAAAGGATATTCCAACGAGCAGAACAAAGGGCTTGAGCTTATGCAAGAAAAGGCCAAAGAAAGCAGAAACAAGAAACACAACCTAGATTGATTAAAGCAAAGGGGTTTCTTATGTTGGCTCAGGTAGACTGGATCTCTTTCATTGGTTACTGTGAATTTCCTGTTTTTTGGAAAACTGGCTGTTTCAGAGGTCAGGTTGATTATGTGACACCTAGCATAAGTGACTTATTCTGATTTGGTCTTTTTGCTGGGGTTATTGCAGAAGCTCAGTCCAGAATAGTGGCCTCCATTTTATTTAACATGTCAGACACTCTAGGAAATACCAGTGTGACAAACCTGTCAATAGATACTGGTTTGTTTTGCCTGTCAGTCTCTGTAGACACTGTCTTTCCTTTTGCCATCTTGTTCTTATTGTGGGTGGTTATTATGTCTTTCATACGTTATGGGCTATGAGGTATGCATTTTGATGATAATGACAACCTGAAATTGCAGTGTATTTAGATAAGAATTTTGTCTTTTAAGTGATGGAGTTAAGAGATTAACTCTGTGTATGGACTTTTTCAAAAATTTTGTTTATTTGAGAGAGAAACATGAATATATATATATATATATACATATATATATATATATGTATATATATATATATATATATATATATATATGGAAAGAGAGAGAGCGAGAACTTCCCCATATACTAGTTCACTCTCCAAAAGCCTGCAACAGCCAGTGCTAGGAACTCAATCCAGGTCTCCCACATGGATGGCAGAAACCCAAGTACTTGAGCCATCACCTGCTGCCTCCCAAGATGCACATTAGCAGGAAGCTGGAGTCAGGAGCTGGAGTTGTAAGTCAACATCAGGCACTCTGATGTGAGATGTGGGCATCCCAAGCAGTGGCATTAGTCCTAGACTCACCAACCATCCATTATATGTGGTTTCTTCACTTCAATCCTGACGCTTCTACTTTCTATCTAGATAACACTGGGCAAAATATTTAACCTCTCTGTACCTCAGTTTCTTCATCTGAAAAATAAGAATAATAAAAAATCTAACATTATTATGAGAATTATGTTTATTTAATTATATGTAACATGGTTAGAATGGTGGCTGGCGTGCCATAGCCATTCAGTAGTAAACAAAATAATGGCTCCCTAAAGATGTCCATGTCCTATTTCCCAATATTGTAAATTATGTTGTATGGCAAAGGCGAATTAAGGTCACAGATAGTGTTGGGTTTGTAGCAGCTGACTTTAAGGTGGATTACCCTGGCTCTTCCCAAGTGGGCCCCGTGTAATCACAGGGGCCTCAAGAGTGGAAGAGGAAGATATGACTATGGAAGTACACTGAACATAAATGCAATGCTGCTGGCTGTGAACATACAGGATGGGAACCAGGAACCAAGCAATCTGAGCAGTTTCTAGAAGTTGAAAGGGCAAATAAATGGATTTTGGGGAGCTTCCAGAGTACAGCTTGCCAACACCTTAATATTAGCCCATTTCTACTGTTTAGGACACTAAGTTTCTAGTAGTTTCTTACTGCGTCAATAGAAAACTAGTATTGGGGCTGGCGCCATAGCTCAGTGGGTTAATCCTCTGCCTGTGGCACCAGCATCCCATATGAGTGCCGGTTCTAGTCCCGGCTGCTCCTCTTCCAGTCCAGCTCTCTGCTGTGGCCTGGGAAAGCAGTAAAAAACATGACCCATGTGCTTGGGCCCCTGCACCCACATGGGAGACCGGGAGGAAGCACCTGGCTCCTGGCTTCAGATTGGCGCAGCTCTGGCCGTTGCTGCCAATTGAGGAGTGAACCAACGAGAGGAAGACCTTTCTCTCTGTCTCTCCCTCTCACTGTCTGTAACTCTGCCTCTCAAACAAATAAATAAAATCTTTTTAAAAATTATTACTATTTTACAATCTCATAGTATGTATAAGGAAAAATTTTTTCTCTAAGGTGTTTAAGAAAAATCTTTAAAAATAGATTCAACTAGAATAGTGCATAAATATAAAAACTGTAGAGCTACATAAGTCCCATTTTCTATAATATTACTAAATTGCACCTTAATTTTGTGTGTCATTTCAGATGACTTGGTTTGGCAGGTTTATACTTCGTTGCCCATTGTCCAGTGCCTCCTCTTTCCATTTGTTACCCGATAAGCTCTGTATTTTGGTGTAACAGAAGGATCTTTTAGATTTCTCACACCTTGGGATTTGTTTCCTTCCACTACTTTAGCAAAATGAAGATCTGAAAGGTGGTGTTTGATTTTATCTGCAGTGTAAAAA